AAATTATTAGGGTTATGTCATTACTTCTCCTCCTCCCACCGCTTTCCTTCTCTATTCTCTCTCTTATATCACTTATAGAAACTTGATAAAATATTCTTTCAAATTTTCACAAAAATGCTCTATTTTTTAAACAATCAATCACATCTATTGCGAGTCGATTTCTTATGTTAGATAGATCGATACTATATCTTGTCTTTATGTTTAGAAAGATGCCTCTATTATTTTATTTCTTTTAACTGTCATATTTTTTTGTGTGTTCTAAGATTTTATGTTTGTTTTTTGGTCGAAACCGATGAAAAACTGACTCTGTTATTACTATTTCGACTATTTCAAAAGCTTTTCTTTTGAATATCGAGACTTACGTAATGTGTTGTTCCATTATTTTGATTCATATTGCTTTTTTTTTTGTAGATTTTAGAAATTTCGTAAGTTTAATGGACGAATCTGTAATAATTTTTCAATTTTCGGTCGAAATTCGAATTTTATTCAGTCGAAAAAAATGAATACCGGAAATGAAGTCTCATTTTCTATTTGAATGTCTATTTGTTTTAAAAAATGTTACAAATCTTAGTCGGTTATATAAATTTTGACTGTATTTTAAAATTTAATTTAATATAAGGGTCTTAATCTCTAAAAATGTGTTCAAATCTTTTGTGATTGAACAAATCCCACATTTTAAGGACAGCATTTAATGCTGCCCGATTTTTTTGTAAGAAAAAAAAAGTTGCCAAAAGTGACATGTAATTAATGTAGATAGAATTTTGACAAAAAATTGACTTACTATTTTTAAAAAATGTTAATTCTTATTATATATATATATATAGATTATCCAAATATACTATTTTTTTTTCTTAAATTTGGATAAATTTTGGATTCTACCGTCTGCAAATGTTAAAATTCTTGCCGATTGTGGTGGCTTTGGGGTATAGGCATTTTATTAAGGTCTGTATCTGCTGGGATTGGTTAAATAAAATGTTATTCTTTATATTTTAATACTGTAAATTATCTCTTGAAGATTCAAGTAATAGTATAGGATTAAATTTTTTTGGTGCTCAGACACAAAAGGCATTTTCATGGTCGTGTTATGCAAATCGCGAAGACTTTTGCAGAGAAAATGCTAGGATTAAACATGTCGCCTTCTACATTATATTGTCTTTGTATGATTGGACATTAATCTAGGCTCTTAAATACATTGTTAACTTTAATTCAAAAATAATATTACGCCGCTTGTGTTTAACACATCACTTGCTGGTTACTATTATTTGTAATTTATTAAAAAATTCATCATTTATTATACAAGTGCCTTTACATGGGAAAGGAGTACAAAACGGAATAAATATAAATAAAAACCAAGTGGTCATTTGACAAACGTGCAGCTATCCTCAACTTCTCTTCACAAATCGACCCTGCCAAATAAATCAATCGATCGATAAATCAAATTGAATCCTATGTATTCGTCAAGACGGTCAAATTGGAATACAAAGAAAAAGAAGAGGTCAAGNACCATGTATAATGGATAATTAGAACTAGCCTCAAATTTAATTTGATTTATTTTATTTATTATATTACAAAATTAGAAGCGCCCCCATTCCCACAGAAACGTCACCAGAGTATTTGCATTCATATTTTAATGCCTGAAGAAGGTATTGACAATCCCAAAACATAGTTGTATAATGTGGACAAATAGAAAAATTTCAAGACTAGAAAACAAAATTTGAAAAGACGGTGTACCTTAAGTCTAGGGCGTTTTTCAGCATTGAGCTTTCTGACTTGATAGCGTATTTTTTTGGAAAAGAGCCTATTTTGCCTCTTCTCCTTGTACCTCAGCACACTTGCCTCTCTCTGTCCCATCTTCAGCTCATGATCATCGTTACATTTCATTTTCATCATCTCGCCATTATCAATATCTCCCACGATTTCTGGTACTATCCATGATCCCCCATTACATCCCGAGTTTAATCCCTGCAAATCAACACACAAATTCACTGGCAGAACAAGTTTTTGCATGCAGTCTGTAGTTCTATAATAGCACCAAACAATCATTTAGTTTTTGTTCCCAGAATTGACTATTGAGTGTAGCTATTATTGCTAACATCAACATATGGATAAAGCTAATTGGAAATCGGTTTTCATCAAACTGTGTTTTCGTTAGGAATGATTAAGATAAAAAAGTTTGATGAATAGTCAGTCCCTCAAATTCATGTATGTGTAGTTACAAACTCCTAAGGCTTTAAACTTGCCTTATAAATGCACAAAAATAAAATGTCACTGGGTGTTTTTAATTTTAAAGGATAGCTAAAATTATTTGCTATTAAGCTAGACTCCAAGGTCATTTTAGCAATTACTCCATTGAAGAGAAGACCAACTCTTCTGGCAAACTGAATGAAGAGTCAACAATTGAGAACAAGAAAATCATAGAAGTTTCGTTTATAGACTACACATGGTACTGTAAAGCTCAAAATAAGAATCATGCCCGTGCTAGTATACATCATTGTATGGTAAAACTTGAAGGTATTTTCAATGACTTCTGAAAAAAAGGAAGGCTCGATATTACCTTTCATTATCTTAAGTTTTCTCTATTCTCCAGCTATTCCAGATGTCACGTGATTCGCATATTATTTGAGTCATGTTATCAAATCTTGGAGAAAATGAAAAACTATCATCAAATTAGTTCTATTGTAATTTGCATATTTGATCAGTTTAAACAATGGTTTCTTAATCTAAATCAATAAAGTTACAGTCAGAAAATTTGGATCAGCTAAGACAGCTACTGTTAAATCTCACATGTCTTGTCTTGACTGGATAAAACGGATATTCTGATCTTTGATTAGCATGTGTGCTGATTTAGAACTGAAACAGCTTTTACTAAATTACAGTTAAATGGTACTAAGTTTTTCTAGATTCCCTCAGATAACTGTCAATTCTGCAAATTTCCCTTCCACTTAAGTGCATATTCTGCACATTTTCCATAAGAAATTAAAAAATCTTAATCAGCAATCACGTGAGACGATTATGAATTAAATAATCACATAAGTCAAACACGTGATAACTAAAAAAATAGTAATAATTAATTTGCTCTGGAATAGTGAAAAGTGTGCCAAATCTTACGCTATAATTGGATGGCTCCTGCGAGAGAAAATGATGGGCAATGTCAGGGACGATCTGGGAATTATCTGCTGCGTCGATATACAACGGGCCTTTGTTGGACCACGCGTTCATGATCTCCTCGTAATCCAGCTTCAACGACATCCGCCGGATCCCGGCCGGCCGCCGCGGATCAACGGCGGAGCTAGTCACCTCCTCCTCCTTCACCACCTCCGAGTAGCACACCCACTTCTCCTCGCTCGAGTCCCGATCTCTGTTCCTCAGCGCGTTCCGCTCGAGCGCCGCCCTCTCCTCGCCGTACGCCTGCGTCAGAGACGCGGGAGATGGCGGTGGCAAATAATCGAGCCTGAAATCACCGATCATTGAGTTAAGTATCAACAGAGAGGTACTTTTATCTTTGGATCTTGCATCACGGCTAACTAATTAGGTAGCAGAGTAAAATCGTGGACAATCGAACTCGTTACCTGGAGCTATTGTTGTTAGTGTGAGAGGAAATGGACTCAGCGGCGGTGGAAGTGTCGAGAAGGCCGGTGAGGGTGGAGGCACCGCCGTCCGCGGCGGAGAAGAAGAAGGCGACGTTCTCGTGATCGTTGTTTTCTCTCTCTTCTGCTTGATTTTCTGGCTGGAGCGGGAACAGTGTGAGGCGATCGGAGGTAGCATCCGCCTTCGCTGGTACTTCGATCTGTTTGGCCTCATCCGCCGGAAATTGGAGGCGGAGGCTGAGGAATTTGGGCCTTCTGGCTTTCAATTTGCGTGCTGTGGGGCGTCGTTTAGTGTTCATCGAGGCTGCCGTTTCGAATATAATTTGATCGGTGATGAGATTTTTTTGGTTTGGTGTATGCTGGTTGGGAGAAAAAGTGCGAAAAGTCAAGCAAAAAGTGAGAGGTTTTGTGGGGCAACAAAAAGGGGTATCCTTTTGCTATGGTGGAGTCTTATTGTGACTGTGACGCACGTCGGTACGAAAAAGATGATCAGCTGAGGTGTACCTTTTTCCATCCACGTGGAGGCTTGCCATTGGCGGAGATTGAAGATAGGTTTTGCTTTCTGGATTTCCTCCGGTGGGAATTGATTGGGTCTTACGTGTACCTATTATTTAATTTCATAGTTTTTAACTCTTACCATTTTCGATTTCTTGCTCGATTTTGATTTTATTATTTTTTAACAAACTAAAAATATTAGTATATCGTGCTTAAAACTTGATA